CAGCACCGACGAGGTGGTGAAGGCTGCGGCTGGAAACCCGTTAAATGGTAAAGAGGTGATAGAACTACTTCTCGACGGCTACGGAGACCAGATCACTATCACCGACGAGGTAGTATCTATTATTGCTAGAAGTTTTGACGAGAAAGTGGTAGCGCTACTTCTCGATCGCTACGGAGATCAGATCACTATCACCGACGAGATGGTAAAGGCTGCGGCTGGACACTAGACGAATGGTAAAGAAGTGATGACACTACTTCTCGACCGCTGCGGAGACAAGATCACTATCACCGACGAGGTGGTGAAGGCTGCGGCTGGAAACCCGTTAAATGGTGATGAGGTGATGAAACTACTTCTCGACCGCTACGGAGACCAGATCACTATCACCGACGAGGTGGTAAAGGCTGCGGCTGGAAACTGGACGAATGGTAAAGAAGTGATAACACTACTTCTCGACTACCGCGGAGACCAGATCACATTCACCGACGAGGTAGTATCTATTATTGCTGGAAATTTTGACGAGAAAGTGATAGCGCTACTTCTCGATCGCTACGGAGACCAGATCACTAGCACCGACGAGGTGGTGAAGGCTGCGGCTGGAAACCTGTTAAATGGTAAAGAGGTCATGAAACTACTTCTCGGCCGCTGCGGAGATCAGATCACTATCACCGATGAGGTGGTAAACGCTGCGGCTGGAAACCCGTGGAATGGAAAAGAGGTGATGAAACTAATTCTCAACCGCTGCGGAGACCAGATCACTATCACCGATGAGGCGGTAAAGGCTGCGGCTGGAAACTGGGGGAATGGTGAAGAAGTGATGACACTACTACTTGACCGCTGCGGAGACAAGATCACTATCACCGACGAGGTGGTGAAAGCTATGGCTGGAGCCTGGTGGCATAGCAAACAAGTGGTGGCATTACTTCTCGACCGCTGTGGCCACCACATCACCACCACCGAGGAGGTGGTCAAGGCTGCGGCTAGAAAAGAGTATGGTTAATCCCGCTTTCATCTGGAGATCGTCAAGCCACGACGCCAAAATCATCAATCTACTGCGAAGGCTATTGATCAGGCAGAAAATATCAACGCCGGCTGGACCACCAGTCCTTCATCAAATTCTGGAAGGTTGCTGAAACTCTAAACGTATTTGAGTTTGGATGCCTCAATAACATATATTCATACATGTCCCACGTTGCCCTAGCATTTCCTGCCTCATATGTCAACTGCCTAAAACAATGCAATTTGAAAACGCGTCGAGATCAAATATGAATTCGAGATGTACGTACGGAAGTGCTACAAGCCTTCGGTACTTTTCAGGCTATCCTCGGCCGCGTTTACTCTGCAGATACTTTCTTGGCTTCTACCTTGAATCCTATGCAGAAACACGCTACTGCGTACGGTTACCTGGCGTATCATATGAGACCGGGCTTGAAATAAGGGTGTTATTAACTACTATGGTTGATTATACGACATATGGCAGCTGCCATTCTCTAGTACCTGTTATAGCCGAAATCCTAGGATGAAAACCCGGCCTGATGAGAGTCCCAGGGCAACCCTATTTGTTTTTACTGCCAAAGATAGAGGTCTGGTCTCATGAGGAAGCCATAATACTTGTTCCCCGTTAATAACTATCCAGTGTTGCCGTATGCATATTACTGGATTCGTCTCGGGCGAATGAGGTATGTAATTGCCACACCAGTGTTGAATATTGAGGGCTCCTAGATTAGTGCTGAGGTATGACCCATCGTGTGAGAACTCGAGTTCAGTGACCCCACTCTCAGTGCAGAAGGTCTGCTGCGGGGTGCCTGTCGCCGTATCCCAAAGCCGCACTGTCTGATCACAGGAGCCGGACGCCAGCAGCTGGCCGTCGCGTGAGAAGGCCACTGTTCTGATCAGGTTTGTATGGCCCTCAAGAGTCTGCAATTCTGCACTCCACTTTTCGTTCACCTATGGGAACTGGCATATCCAACCAGGAAGCTCTGACTTAAACTCTTTGCGAGTCATTGCCTTTTGGGGTGCAAATATCAGCCCTGAGCAATATATCTGGAGCGGTGCTTTATCGGCTATCTGGTGATTTTTAAGGACAAAGCGCTTTCCATCATATAGGAAATCAGACATTGGGGAAATGCCGTTATCCTAAATTAGTTAGTGTGGATCCTATATAGCCACCTACTCTACTACTTACTAGTACTAAAGTGTGGAGGAGATCAAGCATAACCACCACCTCTGATATGAGACGTTCGGAACATAAAGGCTGACTTTGTTCTATGATGTATCCAGTAGCGACAAGAGTATTATAATGCCGGTGGTAGGTATAGGCAGATACGTTAAGGGTCGATGTCTGCGCGATGCGTTCTAGGGCTTACGAGATTGCATATATCCTTCTACAGTCGGCTCCGTATGGTTCTGAGACAGGATTCGGCGATATACTTATGTCTACTTGGTTCATCCATATGAAATGCCTTTCCGGATTAGACCAGAAAATCTCGGAATGATAGATGTAGAATCTTAACCGGCTGCTCTCGGTCACCGGGAACACTTAAAACCGATCGGAATGAATCCAATCGATTGCTAATCTGGTCTGCTTCTATCCCAAGAAATAGTGATAGTGCATTAATAGAAGGCGGAATATCAAGAAGGACGATAACGCCGACTATTTTTTGGAACTCTTGTAAGAGCTGTTACTACTCTAACTCACTATCTTGATCATCCAATAGTCGCGTTAGAATTGGTAGATATATCTTATCCATTCTCGAAATATATTTGGCTTGGTCTATTAGAAGCTCGGCGAGGCGTGATTTCGGTTCCCATTTTGGATTTTCGATGTAACGGCATAATAGTTATAGCCGAAATAAATAGCGGGGCGGACATTCTAACCAATTCACAGATAACGTCATCGCCGGGCTAGTCCTAGAAAATATTTCTATCTTGTTTGATCTTGGCAAATCGGTCCCGTAGGAATAAACGTATGTCGTGTTCTGTCACTTCTTTAGGTATCTCATGAAGAGCTAGGTTCTGATATTCATGATCCGCGATGTCTGAAAAGCCGAGGCTGATTGGGAGTTCAGGCCTACTAGTTAAGAAGATCCGAAGGAGAACCGCTTTTGCCTTATGGAGGAGAGGCAGTAATTGAATGATACTTCGGATATCTCGATCATGTTCACATTCGTCTAAAGCGTCGATGACTATCACGGTAGTCTGAGGTTGTCGACCGGGTTGGTCAAGGGTAAGCAGCGGTTGAAGGAGTAGTTTCTCAAACTGCTCCCTAAGCGATTTTGAAGCGACGTCAGGATCATGGTCGAATGCCTTTTGGACACCAGATCTCAGCTCAGAGATCCTAAGCATCAATTGCCTTGTTAGTGTCAGAAAGAACTTCTTTGCGTGCCCTCGGTCCCCTTCACCCCTTTTAAAGAAAAAGCTAGCCCCCAGACGGTGGGCATCATTGAGCAGCCTTGCCACGGTCCGAGATATTGTAGATTTTCCTGTCCCAGCCATTCCCTTTAACCAAAATATGCGTTTGTGAGACGGCGACACAGCCCATTCCATTATCTGCTGGAGGAGCTCGGTCCTAGTGCCTTCGACACATTGGGCATCGTATCGATCGGAGAAAGAGTCAAACCCTGCCTCCATCGCGCCTTCCAACTTCCAAAGATCTATATATTCATTGATACGATCGGTATTTTGGACCACGCCGACCATCATTGAACTATGTAGTCATTATGTCAATAATGCAATCGTATAATCGTGCTCGATAAACGTACCTGTGATCTACCTGTAAGGATAGGAGGAAGGAAGATTTATATTTTTCGAGGTTCTGAGTAACGCGCTCCACCTCTGTGCGCTTCAGGGGCCACTTTAACGCTCGGAATCCTACTTTCCTCATCATCTTCTTTCCCTTTCCGGGGTCAAGTCTCGCCTCTAAGCTTCGGAGGTCGGAGTGGCAATCGGTAATACTGCTGACTAGTCGCGAGGAGGTAGCTAGGGTCTTTCCGTCGTTACTTTGAAGGACTTTGTGCAGGTCTTTGAGTGTTCCTTGGAGGCCTGCAATTGACCCTTGGAGCTTCAACATCTCGTCTCGTGCATCTTTCACCTCTTGAATGTAACCCCCGCAAAGCTTTATAATGCTTCCTGTTATTTGAATGACCGCGATAACGCTCGCCGGCGAGGATAAACCATCCATTTGGTAGAGGAACACGGCACAAAGTCCTATGTTCCACGTAGATAGGCACTATGCTCACTCAATTGTAAAATTTCAGATTCGGAATCATAGGATAGGCTTTTCTGGCGAGATAAAGAGGGGTAAGTTAGGTGCCTTGTGGGAGGCTGTGATCAAGCGTGCATCTCAGGCGCCAGGGTGACTAATCATGCGTTCCCCTGATCAGAACAGGGTTCAGACGAACTGGCTGGTCTCCTTTAGGTACGACACCTATCCAAGTATCGAGTTTTCATCGCGATTCACGGTATCAGATTCTCCCTGCATATGCAGATAGAGTTCTACTCTCCCGTATCTTTCATCGGAAGTCAGGAATGCTGAAGGAAGAATTCACTTATGGAAGGGGGGAAGTGGGCTTGCTTATCGCCCCGGAGGACTGGGAGGGCCGCCGTACACTCTATAGGAGCCATTGGCATCTCTCCCCACGGACTTCACCACACACACAAGCACATAGACCATCAACAAGCCGGAACGGAGTATGATTACCGACTATTCCAGATACTGCCCCATCAGTGACGAGGACCTCGTCCAGGGTTTTCAGTGGGAAGCCCTACCTGAGAACTGCCATGACCTACTTAGCCCGTACTACGCGCCAAATATATCATACAGGTCGAGTGATGCGAGTTTCTCGGGTCCCTAGCACCCAAAAGAACTACCGCCGGGATCGCAAAGGAAGAGAGATCCCACACAGTTTCATACTGACACTTGCATCCTTACGCCGAGGATACTTGACAGTCACTCGATGGGGAGGAACGTATCCGCGTGTTGTGCGTGAACTTGGTGCCGAGCAGGGGATCACACATCTGACATTGGACCACAGGTATAAACTCTAGCGATCTCACTACAATGGAGATCCCTATGAAGAAAGAATGTATGTGCATTGCTATAAACAATAAAGAAAACACAGAGCAACGCTATGAGATGTGTTGTCTTTCACAATTACAGTATCTATCAACTGTATAGGATCCTGCTAAGCCCCGAAAGGGTATGCATCATGCTTTCTTTTTGACTAGTTACTATACTAGGGATAGTCAGACATATCAGGCCCAAGTCGAGGCGACAGTGTAGATGCTGAGTTTGACGTTTTTAGTGGCCCCTCCAGTGGATACCAGATGGGTGTGAATTGCGTCGCTGCTCGGGAAGATTTGAGCTGTGAGAGTAGTCTCCCCCTGGCCCCCGAAAACTTCAACACTAGACCGATCGACAAATATGGTCAGATTTACTCTGCCATTGACAGCAAGGGGTCCGCGGTATACGCTCGCGAAAGTGTTGTCGAATGACACATCTCCAGACTTGGTGCGGTCGATGAAGACTTGCTTGTTGACGAAGTCATAACCGATGAGAGTCTGCTCGGTGGAGTCTGCGGAGGCGCGAACAGCGATGGCAAACTCCGAAGCCATCGAAGTAGCAGAGAAGCTCAAGTCGATCTTGATCGTGTCTTTATTGGTACCCACATAAAGGGAGCCTTCGCGAACAGAATTGTAGGTGTGTGAATAGGCCGGCTGCTTGCTGACGATAGAAGACCATGCTTCCTGGGGCTGCTGAACGAGAGTCGCCTTGTCCCCGATAGTCTTGAGAGATAGACGCCGAGGGATTGACATGGCGCTCCGCCATGGGCTGGTGGGAATGTTCGTGCCATATTGCCAGTTGTTCATCCACGCGATGTGGGTGTAGGTGTCGGCAGAGAGGCCATTAAAGCCAGCCGAGGCATAGAAGTCTGGGCCCCAGTCCATCCAGTTGGCGATCGCGGTTCCGGGATACACAGAATCGGCATCAGGAGTGAAAGTTGTGCCGTCGAATTCACCCACGAAGTACTGGGTTCCAGAGCCGACCGTGCCGGGGGGGCCGCCGGGGTTGAGTCCGCTCACGATGACCCATTTCGTGGACTTCCCTCCATCAAGAGGCAACTTGAAAAGACCGGGGCACTCCCAAATTCCGCCTTGGGCGTTGTAAGGACCGAACTCACTCGCCAGCGTCCAGTCCTTTAGGTTGTCGGAAGTGTAAATGACTAGCTTGTACAATGTGGATAGAGCAGTGACGACAACCCACTTGTGAGACTCCTCGTGCCAGAAAACAAAGGGATCACGGAAGTTTTGGTACTGGTCTTCGTATGGGGCTGGAGGGTTGTAGATTACCGGGTTGACAGCATCGTACGTGGTCCAGGTTATACCATCGTCAACACTGTAGGCAATGGACTGGGATTGCTGGCCCTCCCGGATGGTCTTTCCACTGGGCAGGGTCTGCGCAACCGGGTACTATAAGAAGAGAGTGGTCAGTCATTTCCACATCGTCTACCTATCTGCTGGTGGGTGAGCTTACGGCGGAAGTGTACATGGCGACCATGGGGGGCTTCCCGTCCTTCCCAAAGCCACTAGTGTTGTTCACATCAACGACTGCGCTTCCGCTGAAGTACATCTCGGTGACCTCGCCGCCATATCCTCGGGCAAGAAGGGCGATGGGCTTCTCCTCCCAGTGGGTCAGATCGTTACTGGTGGCATGGCCCCAGGACATGTTCCCCCACTTGATACCGCCGGGGTTATACTGGTAAAACAGATGGTATATCCCATTGTGATACACGAGGCCATTGGGGTCATTCATCCATTGCTCCTGGGGCGAGAAATGGTATTGGCCACGGTAGGGCTGGTCGTAGTTGAAGGCGTTTGCCATGCCGGCAACACCTGCTAAAAGACCCGCCACAAGGGCCTTGGTGAGATGAAGCATTGTGAAGGGATATGTATTTGCCGCTGTGGAAGAATAATGTCTGTGACACGGCGGCACGACACGGCCTTATATATATGTGAGCCAGTTGCTCTGAGGCCTCAAGCAATGGCCGTGCATCTGGATGTTTTGCTAGCACATAGTGCCTTCCCCATTCATTCTCCGTTCAGAGGGTGTGCCGCATAGACGGCAGGCTTCAACGGGAGGTGAATCTAGCAGCACCAACATCGTAGCATCGGTGAGTTTTTTCGGAGAAACTCAAACTCTAACCCCGCAAATCGACCAAACGGCGGCATGATTTGCATCGGGCCAACCGAACTAGTAATGCGGGCGTTCTTGGGACTTCTTACAGCCATGAGGCTTCGCGTCTCTCGGGAAAAGGCACTTTTCTGTGAAAAGACCTAATTTTCTTGGCTCGGCATCCTGTAGAATACTAATTACTCTGCCACCTGAATAGTTCGACCACTCAAAGGGTCTGAGGAATACCAGGCGATAGATTTGTATACCGGTGAGTCTCCCCATGGGGTCAAAACGTCTGGGCGTCTCTCGGCCCACATGATAACTCCATTGTCACGAGGTGCCTGGTCCTTTCCGCTTCCTGGAATGGCTGGTGATTCGCCGAACGCGGAGAAAATTCGGGACATCTTCGGTGGTGTCCTTTCGCGGAGATGAGAGATAATCCCGCGATCGGCGAAGCCGAGGCCAAATGTTGACGCTACCCCGTGGGGAACCCGGAATCTGCGTCTCGGCTTCTTCGGACTCTCGGGATACTCGAAATTCTGAAATATCTAGAACTTTGCAAAGATATTGTGTAGAAGCGAAATCAGGGATCTGCGAATATTCCCATGGAACTTGTCTACAATGAACTGACAATTTGGGTATGCTAAAAGCATAATATGCACTTTTGGATGGAATCCACCTATTCCCTGTCCCATGATGTTGGCAAACTGTAAATTTCGCGTAATAAACCTCTTTTCTGACATGCAGGATTAACATACCGAGTAGGGGTGTGTATTCTAAACCTTATTGCAAGCTTCTCTCTTAACCTTTCTTCCATGATGCCTGCACTACCTAGGTACACCGGTTGACAAGGTAACCGGGAACTAGCGTGTTTCCTGGTACTGTATGTCTAGAGGGGAATCTGCTTTCGACTACAACTGTCTCCAGGTCATCCAGGTTTCGCTCAGAGATTTTCTGCCAGACCGAACGGTCTGTGGACAACCCCGGCCTCGTGTTTGACCCGCACAGCCCGCGGACGAGAGATGGCCGAGCCCGATGATTTGAGCATCTCCGCTGTCTACACTCATCATGAGTATCGGTCGCCCGCGGAAGTGGCTGATCCGACCTGCCAACTCCCCAGGAAAACTTCGAAGCCGATTGAAGCTGATTGGCTGAATAGGCAACTCGAAAGTGTATGTCGGCGAAACCCCGCATATATTAAACATTCCTGGGACTCGGGCGTTAGTGTGTCGGCTTCAGTGCCTCAAATTCGTCCCGAAAACTTTCTTTGCTGCTCGGACCCCCAAAGTAACAGAAGGTGGCAATCTATTACACTTTGGTGCAATCGAACAATCATTGGTTAACTCACAAAGGTATAAGATACAACATTTGGCCTCCCCCAGGACGCTCTTCTGAATGATATTTACGTCTCACACATCTCTGATTTACTCTACTCCACCAACATCATGGGGGTTTGGCTAAAGAAACCCGAGAATGTAGCCGGAGCATCATGGCCGGCCATTGCTATCTCTAGCTTCGTCGCCTTCGGAGGTATCTTGTTTGGGTAGGCTCATCATTCCCGCAGGATGAATTCTGGATGTGGCTGACTTCTCCCTCACAAGATATGATACAGGCACCATCAGTGGCATCCTTGCTATGCCGCACTGGCAGGATCTTTTCTCAACCGGCTACAGAGACGCTACCGGACATCTCAACATTACTTCTAGCCAGTCATCTGCTATTGTCTCCATCCTATCGGCCGGAACATTCTTTGGTGCTCTCTGTGCGGCTCCCCTGGGAGACTCCATCGGTCGTCGATGGGGCTTGATCGCCTCCAGCTGGGTATTCAACTTCGGTGTGATTTTGCAAACAGCTGCTACTTCCATTCCGCTATTCCTTGCGGGCAGATTCTTTGCTGGATTTGGTGTGGGCTTGATTTCCGCGCTGAGTACATACCCAAAGTTTCTTAGGTCATGATCTTTCCCACTAATTAGCATATCAGTCCCTCTATACCAGTCTGAAACGGCGCCAAAGTGGATCCGTGGTTTCATCGTCGGTTCTTACCAGCTAGCCATTACCATTGGTCTACTGTTGGCCTCAGTGGTCAACAATTCCACTCACAGTCGGAATGACACCGGCTCTTACCGCATCCCAATCGCCGTGCAGTTTGCATGGGCCATTGTGTTGATTATTGGAATGCTTGTCTTACCCGAGACCCCCCGGTACCTTATCAAAAAGGACAACCATGAGAGAGCCACCAAGAATCTTGCGAAGCTTCGACGGCTACCTGAAGATCATCCCGCAGTCAGAGAAGAGATTGCTGAGATTCAAGCAAATCACGATTACGAAATGAGCCTCGGCCAGCCCAGCTATCTCGAATGCTTCCAAGGCAATTTGGGAAAGCGGCTACTCACCGGTTGCGGCCTTCAAGCTCTACAGCAATTGACCGGCATCAACTTTATCTTTTATTACGGCACCCAGTTCTTCAAAAACTCCGGATTCGAGAACGAATTCATCATCAGTCTTATCACGAACTGTGTTAACGTGGTTTCGACTATTCCCGGTCTCTACGCCATTGATAAATGGGGGCGCCGGCCAGTTCTCCTACTCGGTGCTGTCGGCATGTGTATCTCTCAGCTTCTGGTCGCTGTCCTGGGAACGACGACGACTGGCCAGGATGCCGCTGGCAACATTATTGTGCAAAACGCAGCGGCGCAAAAAGCTGCGATAGCATTCATCTGTATCTTCATCTTTTTCTTCGCTGCGTCCTGGGGACCTATTGCTTGGTAAGTCATCACCGGTTCCAAGGTTCTTTGACATCTAAGTATCTAATATGAGTGTAGGGTTGTTACTGGTGAAATTTTCCCTTTGAAGATTCGTGCTAGGAGTCTATCCATGACCACCGCCACTAATTGGCTGGTCAACTGGGCCATCGCTTACTCTACCCCGTACCTGGTGAACTATGGCGCGGGCAATGCCAACCTGCAGTCGAAAATCTTCTTCGTCTGGTTCGGATGCTGCTTCCTTTGCATTGGTTTCGTCTACTTCATGATATATGAGACCAGAGGACTTTCCTTGGAGCAAGTGGATGAGCTGTACTCCGAAGTCAGCAACGCGCGGAAATCAGTTGGCTGGAAGCCAACTGTCACCTTCACGCAGATTGTGAACCAAAAGCGAGCATCGGTCAGCCAGAGCCATGATGAGCATGCCGTGGAAGAGAAAGCTTAGCCCACACGACCGCACCCTTGGAACTGTCAGATGGATCTTAATAAAACAAGATAGACGGGTCCGAAAAGATGAGGTGTCGCCATCGGGAGAACGTGTATTGTGTGTATTGTGGGAAGTGCGTTAAATGGAGACTTCGGCGCTGTTTTCTTGTTCTGGACCTTTTGGCAGCCGAGCCTGAGACTTGATCTTGGTTTCTTCATTCAACTAGGGATGAGATTGTACCTAGATATACTTTCGTTTTATAATAGCAGTTACCAGTAGCGATTCCACTTCTAGGTTTTTATCGCTCGCCCCCCAACATGGCTACTTAGTAAGTCGCAACGATTAAATATCTTGGTCAGCGTTTCAGATTGATTTCGTTCTGTTGTAATCCAAAAATATTCGTCTCGTTGCAACAACTCTTTTTGAGATTTGCTAAGTCTTATAACGTATACCTGAGGAGCACATATTGGACCAGGTGACCTCTAGTAACTTCTCACTAATTGAATGTAGTCTCTGGCTAGCACCTTTCGATTGTCTATATACCCCCATTTTTCTTTATTTACTCGGCAAAAACTCCCAAAAGTATTTGTTTTGTCCCGAGCTGCTTTTCCCAACCACTTCTCCAAGGCCGCTCTGCCAAGGCGATTTGCCTTTCCAGGTCTGCGTACTGCCCGCCATTCATACATTTATATATTGCATGCACTTGAACAGACAATTTCTCACGCTTTCCATGATCATCTTCAGGACAGCCTTCCTCGCCTAGCAACCCATGTGACATTGCGACTGCCTCCTTGAGGCCCAAAAATGCCAGGGCCAGTCCCAAAAGAAGACCAAGGTTCTCATCGGGACGGTTCGCCCATTGGAGCATTTTATAAGCCAACTTAGCACTCTCTTCGCTCTGCCCTTGATTTCCCGTTAGAAGAAACACATCTTTCAGACATGAAACGCTGACACTGTCAGCCAACTGGGCGCTTGACACTATTTTTAGCCCGATGTCAACGAGGCTCCGGCTAGATGCACGAGTCATTCCGGCCATGCCAGCTGGGATATGTGTTTCAACGGCGAAACCCACTTGGGCGCTAGGACCAGTAAAATATTTGAATCGAGCGAGGTCGCAGTACGGGATGGTACATTAATCATGTTCTCAGAAGACTAATATGCGCAAACCAGAGTGCTACCACGTTTCGCAGTTGGCTTTGGCATGTGCATCCAAATGTTGTTCTTCTGTTTGGAATCCTGTGTCAAAACAGAAATCTGGAAACTCCGCCACGAAAGCACTGGTCGTTGTCTTGTCCACACTCCGCGCTGCCAGGACTGGATGATGACAAGCCGGATCCTGGAGACTGCTCACAATATCTCTAGAAGCGACCGGTATTCTGAGAGTGAATCTATAATATAGCCAGGTGCTGTTCTCTGGGCCAAGAGCAATCATGTGACGAGAGTATCAACTTCCTCGTTCGTGAAAGTCCCAAACATCCGTCCCCCCAGGATAATTCTTGTACGAGCCTGTTATCCCTGCCCATATCTAGGTGAACCCATCGCTTTGCCTGGGAAAGCGCACCCAGGAGCTCTAGATGTTTATGTTGATCATCGTGTGCCCATAAACTCGAATCAAGCTACTCGTCCAGTTTTCTGCTCCCAATCCGTACCTTGGTTTGGAGATGGTACTTTTGTCAGATAGATGTCTTGTTTTTCAAGATCTCAATGATCCGAAGAGTCAGAGGGTGAATTTCAATGCTTTCACTGGCATACCTCGGCGTTTCAATCGTCGTGCCTGGAAGCTCAATTCCACCGCAAGGAGAAACAGCCAACGTATGGGATAAAGTATATCCAGCCTCAACGCGTTTCCAATTTTCCTTTACCATTTCAAGATAACCAATGACAGTCAGCAACACCATCGCAGTGTGTGAGAATCCGTGTTGTCAATACATATGTGGAGGAGGAAGTAGGAAGGGTTGACACCAAGATCCTTCAACTCACGAGCTGCCATCATTGCCTCTAGGCTGATAAGCTCGTAATGCATGTTGAAGCCGAGTATTTCAGGAAGAAACACGTTAGGAAATAGTGAAATGAGAAGCTGGGCAACAGCAGCTTTCCAAGAGCGCTGATCATCCATTGCCTCCAGATAGCATGGCCTGATGAAGTTGCGACTTTGAGGATCTGGAAGGAGGCACCCGGTTTCTTCGAGAAGTCGCTGGTAGACAAAGACATGGTTTCTGGAGAATCCCCATCTCCAAGCTCCTCTGGCAAAATCTGCCAGGCACCTTTGGTCACTCCTCGGAGAGCAAAGGGAGTGTTTATCTTATGTATATGGCTCAGTCAAGCGCCATCCAAAAGCTTTGCCGTGGCCCGTTGAGCTAGCCATTTCTTAGTTTCTTCAATGGTTCCGAATAGTGTGGGGTTCTTCCAATGTTGCCTTGGATCGAGATAACTTGCCTATTCCATCATCATATTTTCGTGTTCTTGGCTTATGAAAGTTCTAAGACGTTATGCTTCGTAGGAATCGATACGCAGACTACCCTTTTGGGATCTTCGAGGGCGAGTGAAATCCCTTCGCTGAGAGCCCGTTGCGGGCAGATTCGAGCACATTTGGATGCTCTTCAAGGTTCTGAAGTTGGAAGTACATCCCATCATACTAATGGACGGGCTTGGGAGGTCTTGTTCGCAAGTTTGGTATTTTGCGTCCTTCCCAGGTGGACTCGAGGAAACGCCTAGCTGGCGCAAAAGGATGCACCTTCGAAGTTCGTCATTGGTAGCAGGTAATGAAAATCAAGAACAGGGCCAGAATGACAGCCAAGTAGTAGCCATTGGATATGACGAGATATTCCGGAAAGTCCATGACAATTCCTATTCTGGTTAATGAGCTCCAAGACATAGAGTGTGTCGCAGACAAAATATCCTATGCATCCGGGATTTGGTATATAAAGGGGCTCATGAAGCACTGGCTAGTAGTGCCTGCTTGTTGTTGCAGCCTCACGCTGGCATAGCGTATGCTTTTGGAATACAACCGACTTCCCTTTTCGTGAATGAGCAGGTGTATCACACATAGATCCAATGGATGGGTCCACTTTTTAGAGCTTGTTCATTCCTATTGTGGAACCTTGGGGCCCACCTTAACGGACGATGAGGCACGACCTGAGCTCCCACCGACTGGAGGTTCAAGCCTTTGAGCGCCATCGTGAGCTGACGTTCTACAAGCTGTTCCTCCAGCTTCGTAAAACCAGGGCCGCCGGATCGTCGATACGATTCAGAGCGACAAAGGCCCAGTCAAACCGACGAGCATTGGAAACTACCTGGCTAATGCCGAGCGGATAGTGTGACGAAAGGATACCACAATGATCCTGTACGGGGCCTTCTGGCGTACCCGTGCACTCAGTAACCGCTTAGTGAATACGGTACAAGAACCTTGAACCTTATAACCTTATTACAGCAAGTAACGTAGATTATGTAGCGCATATATAGACTCAGCGGTGAAGCTATGATTGTTGAAGAAAATATATTTACAGAAGTGAACTAGGCCTCCAAAGCATATGACATGCTTTAGAAGCGGAGTTTTGGTTAAACGTCCTTGGCTGCCTTACAGCCTTAGACAGCTGCCCACGACTCGACTCTTTTTCTTCCTCTTCTCCAAGAACACGACGAAGCACTTTTTCGCCCCATCTCCTTTCTCTGCTCCTGATTTTCAACGAAGGAAGCACATTACAAGAATAGCAAGGGTAGCGTACAAAACGCCTGAAGTGAGTTAAAAATGCATCCATTGCGTCGAAGAGATGACTTACTCCAAGTCCAGCACATATAGATATATCCGGCATATTCTTTCAGGAAACCAGCAATGATTGGGCCCAGAACCGTCCCAAGCGAGGCAGCAACATCATCAAGAGAGAAAACACGGGACATGCCCCCTTCGGGTCCGAAGATACCGGGCGACTTCTCTTGATAGCCTCTAACAATGGCTGTGGAGAGTCAGCAGCGAACGTGAGGGTCCACTTACAGCAGCACTCACCAGAAAGTTCGACGGGGCCAACATTCGCTGTAAAAGGCCGCGCTAGACCGAGGGCGAGAATGCAGCCTGTGTACAACGCGCCGCCTCCGGTCTTAGCACTAGTCCAAGGGAGACAATCCGTACCGGCAAGGCCCAATAGCCCAAGAATCACTGCTTGAAAAACCGCAGATGCCATGGCAGGATACCGCACTCCAAAACGATCGCGCAACCATCCAGCCAATGGACTGACCAAGAGAGTTGGCATAATGAGACAAGCAAACAAGGACCCACTTTCTCCGGGGCCCCACCCGAATGTTTCCTGCACATGAATGGGGAGTGTAGCGTGGAAGCTTGTGCCGACCGTTGTTGTCGATACAGCAACGAACAACGCAGTCAGGGCTCTACTATCAGTGAAGATAATATGCCAGAAGTTCCCTGAATTAGAGCGAGTTTGAGGGTTTTCGCGTGGAGCGAGGAACGGGCTAGTAGCATCACACGTTTGCGACCCTGTCAGTTCTCGTCTGCAACTAGAAACTTCCACAGGTCGACTCTCGATCATGACTAGACGTGCGCAGAAATCTATGCTGAGAAGCAAGAGCGGCAATGACCATGTAGGCCAATAGCCCACGTACTCCAAGGACAGACCAGAAATGAGCGGTCCGCCTATCAACCCAGAATAAAGAAAGGACGTCATTATGCCCTCGACCTTGCCCATATTATCTCCACCCACGGTGTCAGCCACGGTCGCGAGGCCAACGATCCACACTGAGGATCCAGCAATACCCTGCATCACACGGCCAATACAGAGCACAGAAAGCGAGTTTGAGCCAGCGACCATGCCAGTGCCGACTGTACACGCGACAAGTGATAGTAGTAGTGGGAGCTTGCGACTCGGGGTTTTATCCGCAAAGTGGCCGATGATCGGACCTGAAACAACCGAGACCATTCCATGCACGGCGAGCATAAGTGACGTTAGTTCCTGAATGTTGCCTTCACTCACATGTAGTCGCGTTCGAAGCATGTATGGCAACATAGGCACAAGGAAGCCATAGAGGAATGTTTCTATGCACTGTCAGCCATTCACTCGATCGGGGGGCATAGAGTACACGGACCCGCGAACAACGCGATCGCGATTGTTGAGAGGATGAACCATTTAGAAGAGCGCCAACTAAGGCCTATCGCCTCACTTTTGGAATGGACACCCCTCATGCCGCCTGAAGCTGTTGACCAAGCAGTAAAATTTAGTTAGTGAAAAGGCCGTAGGAATATTCTCTATACTACAAAAGCAAGGTTCGGGTCAAAATATCGTTGGTCGGACATTTCGGAAGCGTGATCTTCAGCTCAGCGCAGCCCGTGAGACCCTAATGCGAGGATTAATAGGCTATTGAAGCCGGTTGACCCTCCATATCTTGGTTTATCCTTGCACTACGAATCGGACTTTGTGGGCCTATAGTCCCCGAGCAAGACAGAAACGAAAGCATTGGGATCACAATGAAACCTGGGCGGAGACATGAGGGTTGCACTTGAAAATACATGAATATATATGGAGTACCTAGCACATACATGCATGACAATTGTACCTAGACCCTTGATGGTCAACATATCAACATTCCCAAATTCTAAAGAGCTTCAAGTCAGGCGGAAGAGCAGGTAGCATCTAATTCCCGTCTCCATTTGACAGACAGTCCATGAAGTGATTCAATTTTCACTGACATGCTTCAGCTAATCTAGTCTTGTGTTTGGTCAATGAAATTGATCACCTTCCGTCCCGTAGTGCTTCTGACGAATCCTGCATAGTCGGTGAGGTAACACAAACCGAATAGCTCTTCGTTGTTATCAAAGACCCAGAAGAGTTTTCGTAGCTCCCGTGTCAATTCTTCTTCGCTAATCGTACCCGGCTCATTGTGCCGCAGCACACGCAGCTCAAGAACAATGCCGAGATTGTCCTTATCTCCTTCATAATACCTCCGGATGATCTGATACTGCAAGATGCCCCATGACTCGGTTCGCATCGCCTCTTGGACAACGGAGAATTCGAAATACTCCCCGTACCAATCAAAACTGATTCGTCGGTCGCGTCCGTATATCCGCGCGACTTTGTAGTGACATGCATCCTCTGCCGAGATTTCGGCTTTGATCAATTCTGGTAAGGGGTGGAGTGAGGAAACATCACCACAGACGTAACGGATGAGAGGATGACGCATTCTCTGCCTCGAGGTTTGCACTAACAGCCCTTTCTCACCATCAGGAAGAGGCTGAACATCGGCAATGCATGGTCCTTGATGGTCTTCAATAGCGAAAGGGAATACTTCAAGATGCATCAGACGCTGGTCATACACAAAGTCGGCATGGTGCTCCCCCTTTGTGGTCTCTGTCAGTTTGGCTGGCGAAGCGGCCCAAGGCCCAGCCTCCGCACTACCGATCACTGAAGAGACAGCTACGTTGGGCAAGACGGAGCTTAAAAAGCTGTGCTGGGCCGGCGTCAACGGCTCCGACGTATATAGCACTTTATTGATCAGCAGTTGCCTTCTCTTGTCCTCCGAGAGGGTAGAGATGTATCGTGATAGTTGCATTATTTGACCTGGGTCGCCGGCAATGGCATTGACTCGATATTCAATGAGCGTCTCGACCATCTGGTCCTGTTCCATTTGGCTACCGGCACAAAGAACCGTGGCGCCAGACCCCTCTAACACCTCGGCCATGAGATCCAACGCCCTGTCCACTTTATTAAAAGCCTTTTTCTCTATTGCACACAATTCAAACTTACCTGTAAAGATGCCCTGAAACGTGCATTGTCATGATCCAGTCTCCTGGTCCTATGATCCCACAAGATCGCAAGAGAGCCCCAATGGCTGCTCGTTGTTGACGGGTCTCTTGCGAATCTGTTGCAAAGACCATCGGAGAACCTTTCCCAGAGCCCCCGCCAGTCGTGCTGATGTAAGTTTCCTGTCGATAACCATTTCGAGGGTCTCGATCAGCGGTCAGTCTAGCGATCTCCTTGTACCTAGCACTTTTAGCTACGCAGACGACGGGAACGAAAGCGGGAAAGCTTACAGTCCTTCTTTCCAGGTCAATGGGAATGATGATAGCTTGAAGTCTATTGCTGACTCTCGGTGCTTTGCTAGCAGAATGGGCAAATCTTCTCTTCTCGGTGGATATGGAGTAGGGGAATAAAAAGGATGGACGCTGGCGATGGCCAGAACATCGCCCAAGTCAAAACCATTTAGCACTTTCAGATTGGACATAACCTTCAAAGTTGACCACATATACTACGGGGACCTAATCTGGGAGAGACGGAGCATTGGGGGAAGGAAGAGAGAGAAGGTGTGGGTGCAGCTATCTTTCTCTACGAGGGGCGGTATCCGATCTGTCGGGTGTTCATAGCAATATAAATACATACTATCGGAGCATTAACGAACTTACATGATATTTGTGACGCATTTGGGTAAAATGGTTTCTGGTACTACTTACGGAGTACTAGCAGGTCAGTGACAAGAGTACAAGTGGGACGCGCTATCTATTCACTGGTGTGGCACTAAGACGAATAAATTTGTGGAGAAAAATACAGCATATTTCACCAGGCCATAACAAAAGCCAAGTTTCCTGGTCACGGCCTGGGGGGCCAATGCATATCCTAGTCTGACAAAATCCCTTGCTTGGAATGCAGATCCCTTCACGAATTATCGGTATTTCTGAGCTGTCCCAGGCCGTACGCAATAAGTACATGTGTATTTGACTTGAGACACTAGGGCTGTATGTATAAAGAACAGGACTTGAAGGAAATGCAGCCTCCAGAGTGCCATGCTCGTTTGGAAATTTTTTGATACCACCGCGAGCGCAACCATGAAGGAGCCAATGAACGGTTTTCGGAGTATCCGCTTTCCCTCAAAAGACGGCCATTTCTCTCACCCAGCAGAAACTGGCCGTGAGGCTCGAACTGCTCTACTTAAGAAGTATCATCAGGAGCTCGAGAAGTGTAGTCCTCGGGAGACCTGGGTCGGCGATGCCCACCAGAAATCGGCACCTTATCCAATACTCGCCAATGAAGCTCACCAACACCAGCTAGCAGAGCTTAGCGAGGCGGTGGTCCTAGCAATTACCGATATTGTGGAACGATGGTGGTCGGACGTTGGGGCTCGCTTTCCAGAGCGGATGCCGATCGAACCAGTGGAGGAACAGCTGCTGCAAGTGAGTCTGAACCCTTAGCGTAATGCGTATTTCTCCTTGCCAAACGATCCAGTGGATGCAACAACAGGAAAAGCTGTACTTCGTCCATTCGGATTTTATCAAGGCTCTTGCAGGCCAGACTTCCTGCTTGAATCCTCCGATGACCCTGAAGGGATTGAGAACTATCGAATTTGTGAGATCAACGCTCCGTTCTGTATGCATGGATTCCTCTTTACTACATTTGGCCAGCAGGCGCTTCTCAATATGGGCCTCGAGGAAAGCCAAAAAAGACCAGTAAAAGGTTAGATCCGAGCGTGTCTCTATATAAGAGAAGCGAGTCTGATACACTACAGGTCATTACTGGTTTAAAAGGCCTTTTTGATTATTCACTCCCATTGCATTTGGTCAAGGGGGAGGAATATGGATTCGACATCCATATGTTCGTTCCGTATGCACAGTGTTACCTGGGGATGGATGCTAAAGTAATTCCCCCCGATAGTCTCCGATTGGTACCACCTGCAGATCCAGGGGGATACAAGCTGTACTGTCTGTCTGGGGCAAGTACGAAGCAGCAGGCATTATTGAATGATGCTGGCGAGCGTTTAGAAGAAGTTTTCAGCTAGGACTAGAACTCTACCAACGAGAGCTGCTTGCTACGAGCTTTGAAATGCCTCAGCAAATCAGCCTGAGATGTGTCAACGACCTACGTACTATGTTTCTTGTTCACGACAAGCGCATGTTAAGTTTGGTTCTGAAAGAGCTGGATTCACTAGTTGCGCGAAACGCGCTCTCATCGTGCCTAGCTGGGATACTTAATTGCAGACTCGTCCACACCATTATACCCGGATCAGCAAAATTGGAGAATTCCACATCTAGCTGCCAGACGGGTGTCTGCATCAAGGACAGCTATCTACTCAAGCCAGTTCGCAGCGGTAAGGGAAGCTGGATCTTATTTGGGGATCAGGTCACACAGGAGGAGTGGGTCTCACTTCTGCAGGGCATGCGGGACCCTTGTCTGAAAGATGGAAAAACAACCTACGTCGTTCAAAAGAGAATTGAACAACGAAAATATGATGTTCTTCTGGAAGAGGACGCTGGTGTTGGGAACTTTCCTCTCGTCGGGACGTTTCATATCACAAATGGCGCATTCATTGGTCTCGGACTCTGGCGAAGCGGCCCGGTCGAATTTGTGCTTTAAGTCGTGGAGGATACGGATCTGTTCCGCGATCGAACAATAATGAAGACTGACTTTCTCCCAAGCCAACATTGCTCAAGACATCTTATCTCGCTCTCTGGTCTGATTTTGTCTTTCACTGTCTTTGTGCACTACTTTGTGGCTTCCTGAACAGGGAAGGAACAGGACTCACGCCTGCCCAGGTATACGCGATCCGTATTGATCGTACAACAGCAGGAACCAGGAATACTGAAAGTGATCCTGTACGACTCGCAACGGATTTTACCTGGTTCATCCTCCGCACCTACATGTGTATGTATGTATGTATGTGCCACATGTAGGGTAGGCGTAACGATGCAAGTCAGGGCGGGTTGGGTGGTATAGCCCCACTTGGAAATAAATTCAAGATGTTTGGGCCTTCTAGACATCTCTCAGCTAGCCACGCCGCATAATCGGAGCTAAGTCAAGCGGCGTGCAAATTTGGTATGAGGCTGACCCCAACAAATATTTCAGTTGAGTGTACGGCGCAATGTAGGTGGAGTGGAATAGAAGGTGACGGAAAGGTACAACTTGTTACAGCAGATAGTCAAAACCGATACTATTAAGCATGATATTATGGACTCCCTCCAAAAAAGTCAGTTCCACCGATCACATAACTATCTAGCGCAGTACTAAATACGTAAGCTGAGGCCAGGCTAGTACATTTGCGAATGGACCCAGGAAACGACCTTTCGAGAGTTATCGTACCACTAATTTGAGAACTGCTAAAAAAATCTTGAGTGCACAAGGAATTTTTCATCCATCTTCTGCTCGTCTTCACCATGACACAAAAGTCTTGCAGAAAATGTGGCCTCACTGGCCATCGTCGACTACGAGGGTCTTGTTAACAAGGACACTGCGGAAATACAAAAGCTTGTTCCTGCTGGCCAGACAGTCGGCATGTTCTATCTCGATCTCCGAGGCGCTCGGACGAGAGCCATCTTTGATGATATGCCAATCATATTCAAAACCGCGAATGAGTTTTTTAATCTCCCACACGTTTCTGTAGAAAAGCCTGAAAGCCTTCGAACAGGCGTGGAGCGGGGATGAGGACGCGGTTTGACTACCTGGGTAACCTGTGATCCGTCTTGACTAATGGTTCTTAACACAGTACCATCCCAGTAAAGGGTTCGAGTATTATGAGGTTTGTCTACCAATTAATTCCTGCGGATAATACATCCCTGATCAATGAGTTCTAGATTCCTCGGGATGAATTCGACCGTGGAAACTGGGACTTACCCATTACATTCCAAACGCAAAAAGAGCGCATCACGCACACGATGAGAACCTTTAGTGAAGCTGTACAAACCTCTGTGTTGGGCTTTGCGCGGAAGTCGTTGTCAATATCTTGGAGCTGAGAGATGACTTCACAGTCCTAAGCGACACCGCGCTCAAGCTGGTATTTAAACCCCCGATACACGACGCAGGCAAAGTGACTAACGAGTCCCACACTGATTTCGGTCTGGCTACGCTGCTTTGGTATGATGAGGAAACCACACAAGTGCCCGTCTACGACGAGCAAGGAGGGCAAACAGGGGTGTGGCAAACGATCCTCGTGGTAGAGGGTTCTATCCTTATCAATGTTGCCGATGAACTGGCCGCCAAATCCAGGAGTGATTTGCACTCAACTGTGCACCGCGTGGTGGCTCCACCCGGTGCGAAAAGGGCGAGAAGCGGTATTCTCTATCTTTTGCGGCCTTACAATTGATTTAAGATGCGACAGTAAAAGGCACGTAAAATGATGAGCTTTTGATAGGAAGGGGTTGTTGTTGTCTTTCTCTACTCAGGTAGTTGCTTCAGGGAGCCTCTCGCGATGTATTCTACCTGATTCACAGTACATGGGAATTTGTCAAGAAGTGTTACGATGATTACCCGGTCTTTCACTAGAAAACTCATGGGACGTCGAAAGTATCCGTTTTACTTTGCAATCGGTCTGGACAAATTGCCAATTCGGACCACTTTGTCATTTTAGTCGGAGAATTTATCACCATTTATTTTTACCCATACCTTCGTCACACCTAGATTTTTATCACTTGTGAACTCCAATGCTGGCAGAAATAACCTTCGAGGAGATAGTGGGTCCATGTGGTAATAACAACTTTATCCCGTTATGTACTCCGTGCACCCTGCTCTTTATGCCGTTACTGTCCTCGCAATAACGGACAGACTCTCTACCCCCGTTACTATCTTTCGCAACATTGCAGACAGCAAATTCGAAGCATACAATCTTGCTTTGAATCAGCTCTTGTGTCATGACTCAGACAAATGTAAGTTGGCTACAACCACACTATCCATCGTATCTTACTAACGTGTGAATGCTTTGCGCATACTCAAGGCCAATGTCGTGCCTGAATCCTAGAAATCGTAACAGCTAGCTTTCGACGCCAGGATAATTTCGGTCATAACGTCTGAATGGCCAGAGCGACTTACTCTGGAACTCAAGACCGACAAAGACATCATGAAAGGGAATGTTGATGCCAATTCACTCGGTGAGGAAACCTGGGAGAGGTTAAGAGTAAGCCTTGTATCCCTCGTACGTGTCACCGGTCACGTCTCCTAGTCGAGTCGTCAAGTTGTATCTGATGGCAACGCTATGACTGTGAAAGACCAAAAGGATACGGCCGCCTCCAAGATTTCCCATGCGCTCAACGTGACCGACTTGACCATAGTAGCGCAGGCATGTTCGGATCTGCCCTCATTCCATAGAAACGAGCTCGATCTCGGGCAACGAGTCAACAATCGCATCTTGGATTTACGGAATGCGGGGAGCGGAGCTATTTTTAAAGCTTCACTCGGCAATGTGTCAGCTGATAGTCGAGTTTCTTGGCTCAAATGGTTTCCCCTGGATCCACACGCCGCGTATAATAAGCCACACGGTAGCAGGTGATAAAGAGTACTTTCACCTACCCTACTTTGGAAGTGATGCGTGGCTGGCGCAGAACTCTCAGTATCAGAACCAAATAGTCCTTTCTATGGATATGCAACGTATTTTCGATATTGGCCCTGCGTTCCGGGCTGAGACAAAGTCCCGTACCTCAGGTAGACATCTGACCGAGGTAGGTAATCTCTTCATTCCTACTCGACTTTTGCCTTGCGTCGCGATATATCGCTCCTGAGACTCCCTGCTGACTTATATACTCTGAAGTCTACTGTGCTAGGCGTGGGTATGGTTTTCCAGGAAGATTACCGTGGAGTAGTCGATATGATGGAATCCATGCTTCTTTTCGTATTCAGAGGCCCTCAAGAACGCAAACAATATCGGAACCTCATCGAAACTGTCAAGAAGCACTATCCTGCCGCAAGGGAGTTTCGTGTCGGTCTAGACGAGCATGAAAATATTCCTTGTATGTCCTTCACGCAGGCAAAGCATTTGTTACGGGAAGAGCTTGGCTTGAAAGCAGACGATAATCAGGATCTCACGTGCGGAGCGAACTCTTCCCAACCTTTTTTTCTTCAGGGCTAACGAACTATGCATGCATGTAGTGAAGAAGAGGAAGCTGCCCTCGGCCGACACTTCCGCGAATCTCCCCATCTTGGACAGACAGACGTGTTCACAATTGATCAGTACCCAGCATCTTGTCGCCCTTTCAACTCGCACGCAAGTTCAAGTGCTCCGGGGCTCATGAACACATGGGACACCATCGTGAGGGGTCGCGAGATCTGCTCAGGCTGCCAGCGCATTAACATATACGAGGAGGTTTGCGACGCTATGGCTTCTGCTAATATGAGGCCAGATAGCAAGGAGTGGCAACCGTATCTGTCGGCTTTCAAGGCCGGCATGCCACCTCATGGAGGTTTAGGTCTAGGTGTCAATGGCTGCTCCAAGGATCCCTCGGCCTTGATGACGTGCGTGAAGTCACGCTGTTCCCAAGAGATGTGAATAGAATAGCTCCCTAAAATGATCGCTCTTGGTAAACTTGGTACCCGCTGTATTTATCTCTCTATTTCTGTCTACATCTACATACGAACTCTATCATTTGCTTTCTATTTCCTTTTTATCGTTTCATCCCAGCGCCTTCACTTGCTAGAGACCGATAAGAAGACGTGTCTGGCCTATAGATGGCCCATGGACAGGTCTAATTACCCTATCATACAATGGTTGTATAACTATATGGTGGTGTAGCAGACAGTACAGTAAACTACAATAGTAATATAGCCAAAGATCGAACGAAGTTCCTCCCCCAATGTATTCTTCTCTTAAGATGGATGTGCTTTATTCTGTCATTCCTGAAATACTGGGCTTTTATTAACCGAGCAGCCATGACCATAAAGCGCAAGTCCAACCCCAGTCTCCCGATAGATAGCATGTTGCAGGTGAACTGAAAGGAAAGAATTCCAACCCACTGCAAGGAAAATTGTATACCAACTTTCACCATCCGAAAGTCTTCAAGTTGTAGTATTCTGAATGGAATGCACTCTTTTTCTCGAAGAATTAGCAGGTAACATAGTGCCAAGTACCAGTTTCGAATTCAAATTCCACTAAGTAGTAGTTAAACTAGAGAAGAGCGAGAGAGAGAGCAAGCTATCGACTGAGAAGCAGGCCTGATATCCATGTGTCAACAATATGCTCAACAGGAAGCCAAATTTAGTCACTTGAAATTCCGCTTCTGGTAAGACGAAACAAATCGCACAAAAGACCGGCATCACTAGGGGACGTCCCAAAGGGCGAAAGACAGGAATTCATACAGCATTGGGCTCTTTATGACGAATGAAATCCTCTTGAAGCATACTCGTTGTTGTGTATGCTGAAGTCCAGGCCTTATGAATCAGCTCGTGGTATTTGAAGCCATTCAAATGTGGGAAACTTGTGCTAGAATATAGCCTGGTAACCTCTTCAGCATCAATATCGTCATACGGCCAGGCACCACCTGAGATTTGATAAATTAGACACCCTAAAGCAAACAAGTCGGTTTTCAAAGACCGAGGTTACCCTGGCGCTAAACGATATCTATCCTCCTCCACGTAGTGATCCATATCACCCACTATGATAATGGGACCAACGAAATCGCATAGCTTAAGAGATAAAGTCATCGGCCACAAGAAAGTTTCGTGGGCCAATATCAGCATGGATAACAACATGCGATGGATAAAAGCGACAGCATCGATAGCATTCTTAATCCAACAGGCTCGAATATGTTATGGGACTTGAGATGATTAGACAAGTAGATGAGAAGGTCCCCGAAGTGATGATATGGGAAACAGAGTCCGTGCTCTGTGATCCCGAGGAAATCAAGGATATTGGGATTATTCGGTAGCGTTTGGTAGATAAGCTTTTCACAAGTGATACATAGATCCGACATGCATTCTATATGTCGCATATTTCTGATGGTTGCTTCGTCACATCCTGCGAAATCGTGGGAGATAGGGATCTTGTCGACGGTTCCATTGCCATTTTCAAATACAGCGCCTGCTGCACCTAAGACGATAAATCTTGCCCCAGAGGGTAGAAGTAAACTTGGGCGGTTCCGCATGTGAGGCGGGAATAAGAATGAATACAAGGGAAGAGCCCAGGTTGAAAATGAAACTAGGATTGAAAGTGATTGGCTGGATACACCGGCAATACGGAGCAGTGCAATCATTGTGGGTTCTAGGATTAAGTGGCGCGGTGGTCGCGGGAATCGCACGATCTAGGGTAATTCACAACCTGCTCACCCCCTATCACGAGACGAAAAGGTGGCGCCTGATCTGTAGTCACCACGACTAAAATACGCGTGGTGATAAATCCACATCAAGCGGTAACGACTGCATCGCACATCCATCCTCAACCAGCCTATGTTGGAACACAGTCCGTGGGGTTATGTGCCCCAGGTCGATCATGTCAGCATACTAGCATACCTAGGTAAGAGCTGAAAAGTTGAGATACAGAGTCAGCGTTCATTAATGAACGACCGCTGTGCACCAGCAGAATACCATCCTCGCAGTAGGATTCTACACAGGGTTACCAGGTTGTTACCGGTATGTTACCATGGTCCTATCTACTAGTTTCTTGGCTCGCAGGGTCGCAGGGTAAAAAGTAATCAGTAGGGCTCGTATATAGTAACCATAAGGAAGCTTTAGTACGGTGTAAATGGTGCTAGCTTGGACTGGATGCTATTGATGACGAACCCAGCCCGAGTAAATGTGATTATGTGTATTTTGTGTTACGTGTGTAGTTATAAGTAAGTTCACAGCAAAGCCAGAGGAAGAGTCTGTAGCAATGAAGAAGCAAAAGAGAACAAGGAACCCCTTCAAATGAAGGAGTCATTGGTCACAAACCATCTAATAACTGGGCCATGACCGGATTGAGTGGAAGCTAACGGAATACAGAAACATAGAGAGACAAGGATGATATAATAAACGGACTTTTGATGTATGAATGACCCTCTCTGATGTTCCATGGGTAGCCTAGCTTTGTTTTCCAACCGCCAAATGACCCAGGGGGTCTGGCAAGGACTCTGCACCAATTAAGGGCCGTCAGGAACAATCCCCTTGGGATGGTCCTCCTCAGCGTTCGAGTGGCGCTCTGTGATCTAGTGTTCGGGATAATCGGTGTCTACCCATTTCTCATAGAAGCAGGCCCCTGATCTCAGCAAACCAACGGTTTCCCAGATCACACAGAACACGAAAAGAGCCATGACCACTGACAAAATCGACGTCCCGTTTAGATGGTGGGCTAGAGGAAGAAGAACCATGATGGTACCCGTCACGGGTCGCATGATAAGTCGATATGGCTATGAACAGTTAACGCAAGACCCGATATTGAATTACCGATTATTAGGACATACCTTGGCAAGAATCAGAGTACCAGGTTCATCCTTCGAGGCGTGCAGCAGAGAAAACAGGTATAAGAAGATCATGCCAGCGCCAAGTCCACCGCAAAGAAGCCATCGCCGCGGATCATCGAGTTCCGCCTCCTCCACCGACAGGGCCGCAACATGTCCACCAGCTAAAAGACTCGCAACCAGCGGAAGATGGATGAAAGCCCACGCGAAGGCCGTGTAGACTGAGTGGCGCAGGGGATGGGTGGTTTCCAGTGCACCGTCAGCGTGGACATATAACCAATTCAGACAGAATGCAATGATCAAAGTCCACACCGCACGGAGAAGCCGGTCATTCAACCCAACCGCTGTATGCGATCCTACAACAATGAGATAGAGGAACTCGCCAAGCACGATAATGTAAAAAGCAGCGAAGCGGTCAATTTCATGGGCGAGGTCGACAGCCGTGGACCATTTGACATGGAGAAGCTTCTTGCCTGCGGGCGAATAGCATAAAACCCATGTAATACACTCGGCGACGAAGGCGACGACCGTTGTGGCGATCTTCCCGCGAATGGAAACCGACTCGAAGTACAGAGGGATGTAGATGCATAGAGCTATGGTCGAAAGGGCAACCCAAAGACGTTGCTGCCGGCGGTGGTGGTAGCTCGCGAATGAATAGAGCAGATGCGCGATATTGCAGGAAAAGCGCGCGACCATGTACGCGCCGACGGCTGAGCGCATAGCGCCGATCTCTTCGTCGACGAGCGGGGCGTTGTTGCCGTATACGACTAGCACGGCCATAACCCATAAAATCAGGATGCGTTGCATGAGGTCGTCATTATAGAATGAGTTCATCAGCTCGCGCAGGTCGCTCCAAACGTTCCAGGAGGGAGCTAGAATGAGCTAGGACGCGTTAGCATGTGCGGTAAGGGGTGGTACTCTTCGACTTACAATATATTTGACAAGCTGTGCGCCTGAGATATCTTCCGTGAGAGTATCAGCAAAGTTCGAGAGAATTGCCACATAGAGCAGATCAAGGAACAGCTCGAACCGTCCGGCTTGTCGCTCGCCATCTTGGAGCCTCATCAACTTCCCACCCTCGAACCATTGCAATGCGCGTGGCTGGAGAAATAGGAATCGACGGTTGGAATTGAGCTCCTGGGCCTCCATCTCCGAGATCCCTGGCATATTGAAACCTGGGTGATTTTGGATGTTGTATAAGAAGCTAAGCTGCCAGGCGCGCGCCAAGGGATGAAAAAATCAAGAGCCGCCGATCATCGCCCCACGGTTGCTTTAAAGCCTAACTTGCGTCATAGATCAATAGATCTGAGCTGCATTCATTTCTGACGTATCCTAGACGAAGATATTTGCATATACGGCATACGTATTGTCCATATTGTTATTCAAAATCATGTCTCATGCATATATCGCCAATTGGTCACTCCTAGTAGCTAATCATCACTAGGGTGGGTGATAGGGCGGTCGAGCGAGGCTTGCCGCTGGAAGTTACGGTGGAAACGCCAGGCTAGATGCTTATAGTCGAAATCAAGTTTGAGTTCTTTCAAATGGTCTTTAATATAGGAGTGCCACTTTAGTAGTAAGAGGACGAATTGCAACGCTCTCTCTTTAACGGTTTCTCTCTCTTAGGAGGTCAGCGTACCGCGAGACCAAAGCATTATTCATCCCATTATCAGACCCGCTCGGCCGCTCTGTCCGACCCAACTCACTCTCCATTGCCAATGCCTTCCTTCGCGTCCCAAGCGCGCAAGCTGCACGCAAAGCTCGTACACAAAACCAAACTTCTCGCTACGAGGATCCATCGAAATACCCCCCGCATTGCTAGAGACCACCAAACGTGCATTATCCACAATAGCAAGCGTTCAGGTCGAGTGGCGCGAGGTCCTCGGCCCCCAATACGCACAATTACCACTACCGAGATCGAAGACGAAGAAAAATCCTACACAGTTACATCCCGACAGTTGCAGTACTACGCTGGGGATACTTGACAGTCAATCGATAGGGAAGAATGCATGTGCAAGTTGTGCGGGAATTTAGTACATGTTAGTGCCGAGCAGGGAATCACCCATCGTGAGATCAGACATATATGTTGACTGTCTCTTTGAAACAGTGAATAAAAATTTTCTACGCTAAAAATTGATTATATAAGATAGGAAATCGGGTCCCGCTCAGTTGGAACCCGGTACCCGGTGCCCACGCCAGTCAACATGGACGAATGGATCCAGGTCTCGGTTAGGTAATAATACGCAAATTACATAAGCGTGAAACCGGCCCCAACCTCGGGACCTCGGGAGGTCCAAGCTTCCCGATCCAAAGTTGGAACCTTTGAAGGTTGCCCGGTTCCCAAGGTCATCATCTGGATCTCGCGAATCAGATCAACCACATTGCCGCCAGTGGCATTATTTATCATGATTCTAATTTGGGGACTGAACCCGCTTCCCCTCGAGGCCCTCTTGACCACTAGATTAACCATGTTCGGATTTCCAAGGCTTTCTGTAACGTAACCGCTTTGTTTCACTCAGCCTATACCAACAGGCGTACTTTCAGCCAGAGCGCTTACAGTACTGCCATCACACCAATCACTATATCCTGAAATCTCGCCATTGCTTCCCTATCAGATGTCAATATAGCCTTAAAAGGGAATCGCCACCTATATATTCCAGCTAGTTCCCGCAAACCTTTGAATTTATCTACGCGCATTCTTCTTACCTATCTCGATTAGCTACCAACAGTTATTCACCACCTTGGGCCAACTCTTCTAAGCTTTACTCACTAGATGTGGTAATATACCAGTCAATATGAGCCACCAGTCCCTTCTGCAGTATCTCTTTGTTGCTCTCCCGGCAGTTCAAGGTACTGCCCCATCACGGAACACAACGAACCCTAGATATGGCGCGGACGACATTACTCAGGTCGTCTCTTGGCCCAAATTCAATTATGCGACTATTTCCGGCAACTAAAACTTGTGCCTATCACTTTCGACGGCGGGGGCTCGGCAGCGTACATTGAGCAGTTTCGGCAAGACACTGCCTTCGTCACTCTAGGTGACACCTTTGCTAATAGCACAAACCGAGCTCCAGGAGACATAAAGGTCTCGTGGAAATGGTGTTCTGGCTACCAGTATTTGGAGCGTTCTACCCTCCGAGACGAATACAACCAAGTCTCGTCGCAAGTGAACTTCTATATGAGCCAACACAACGCGCGCCATGGCTTTATGCTTACCAACACCGAGTTGGTTGCTGCCAAACGCCTTGATGGGAACGGCCGTCTAGCTGTCTCTAGATCGATTCCCTGGACAGCTGCGGGCCATAGCCAGCTCACTGTACTGACGGTTGTGTGGTCTGGGATGCTTGCAACCGAAGAAGCACTGGGCCCTGTAGCCTAGCCGCCGTTTCTGATCGATTACGCGGCATTATCCCATTGGAACTTCCACCTGTGTTCAGTTAGTTATCGCGTGTAGTCTGCATTCACGGAATGCTATCTATATAGATGAATGAAGATGGAGAGAGCTCTTGCGTCATGGCAAGTCTAGTCTATATCCATTCCAAGGCAGATAACCACTCTAATTTGGAAACGTATATATTATCATTCTATCTCCCGATATCTCCAGGGTGGATCTGACAGTGCTTAGAAACTTATCCCTAGCAGGTAGAGATGTCTGCCCGTCGGTCGGGTTTACTTCTATCGTACCGAATTTCAGCGTTTAATGGGTGTAATATAATATCAGTCTATATAGAATAATTCAGGCGGGGTTCAAAGGCGGGGGAGGGATGTACGTACGTAAGATGGGGCCCATTTGGTTGTTCCACGTCGTCCAACCTTTCCTTTCCCGTAAGCCCATCTCAAAGCTCCCCCCTTCTCATCAAACCCCTGTCTATCAAAAACATGGTACTGTCCGATATCTTTCCCATTCCGGGGATGAAACATGGCGAACGCATTCTCGTTTCGGTCGTCGAGAACAGAGCCAGCAATAATTCGGGCAACCCGTGGGTATCAGTTCCAGTGGATGACCAGGACTTGTCCCAAGGCTACAAGGATATCAATTTCCGGCAGTTGAATAACTATGCTAACCACGCGGCACAATGGTTGACTGAGAGTCTTCCCCAAACCTCCGAACCATTCCAATGCGTTGCCTATGCCGGCCCTAAGGATCTCCGGTACCCGATCCTGGCCCTTGCCGCCGCAAAAGTGCAAAAAGTGGTATGTTGGAGTGCAAGTCTCTCAAGTTAGGAAATGTTAACAGAATGAATCAAGTTGGTACTCCCTTCACCACTTATTACACCTGAGGCGCAGAAGAGAATCCTTGATGCAAAGAGCTGTGCCGTGTACTTGCGACCGCCTTCTTTGGAACAACATGTCGGCGCTGCACTGAAAGAGGCACCTCATATCCAAGCTATCACGGTCCCCGAAACCCATGAATTCATGAAGGAGACGGAAGCTCCGACATATACCTACCCCAAGTCCTGGGAAGAAGGGAAGGACGATCCTTGGCTTGTCTTCCATACATCGGGGACGACAGGTTCGTTACTCTTTCGAGTACCTTGAAATTGCACACTAACTGGTCGTGTAGGCTATCCAAAGCCACTGACATATACTCAAGAAATGATGGCCGTGGCCGACATGGTAGCGGCAACCCCGGACCTTGAAGACTGTTTCGCCCACCACTTTGCCAATGAGAGGTTGTACACGCCGTTGCCGTCCCTACATGTGCGTCACCCTGCACCGGGTCTTCCCCAGAAGTCTTACTGACGTATACATAGCTGGTTGGAATGATTTTGGTGCTAGCTTCGACCTCCTTTATCAATACAACACTGGTCATTGGTCCTCCAACGCCGCCAACCCCAGAGACCGTCGTAGATATTCTGAGATACGGACACGTCAAAGTTGCGCTCTTGACGCCAGCCGTTATCGAGGAGCGCTGCTTGACACCAACCGGCACCAATGCCCTGCGAAGCCTGAAGTCAGTTCATTACGCCGGCGCACCTCTGTCGGCTAAGGCAGGGGATATGTTGATTTCTCACACTCAGGTTATACCTACTGTCGGCAGCACAGAGGCCGGAGGATATCTTACTTCAGTTCATGATAAGAAAGCGGCATGGGACTACGTTGGTTTCCAGAAGCACGCTGGTGCGGTTTTCGAGCATCGCTTTGATGATCTCTACGAGCTGGTCTTTGCGCGCCAACCGGATTCTAAATTACAGTCTATTTTTCGACTATACCCGGACCTTGACCGTTACCCGACCTGTGATCTGTGGATCAAACATCCAGCGCATAAGGGTCTGTGGAAGATCGTCGGCCGCAGTGATGACCATGTAAGCTTCTCCCATGGGGAGGGGTTGTATGCTTCGCGCCTTGAACCTGAGATTGAAGCTCATCCTGCGGTTAAGTCAGCCTTGATTGGTGGGCATGGTCATCGATCACCGGTGTTGCTTATCGAGTTATATCCTGAAGCGATTAAGGAGGATTGCCATGATGAGTTCCTTGCTTCTTTGCAGCCGAACATTGAAAAGGTCAATGCTCAGGTTCACGACTGTGTGAACCTTTCTGCTGAGCGAATTATCATTGCGACCAAGGAAAAGCCGTTTATTCGAACGGTCAAGGGAAGTGTTGGAAGAATGCAAACTTTGACGTTGTATAGAGATGAGGTTTCTGCTCTCTTTGATTAGGTCAGACTGATGGGCCATCAGAATTTAGAATATTGGAATGGGAGCAGATATTACCGGTTTCGGATTAGCATCATTCTAAACTACAGAAACAGAGATCATAACTGAGTTGAATATATAGAAAAGGACGTCGAAAGAAAGATGGGCAAAAGCAAAACGAGCACCAATTCCCTCACCCTCCTAGGACCATCCGCCCAGTCTATACGCGTTATGGCGAAGCGTACTCTTATCCCCTTCTCATCATATTCTCATCCCGTTCTCAACTCTGTCACCTTGGTCTCCCAAATCCTCATCCATATCACCCACACCTCACGGCAGATACCCTCGCCACTGCACGGCACCTGGGCGCTCAAGCTCAGGAAGTTAGTTCACGTACTGCAAGGTCGCAGGGTGAGCAATAGTGTTATCATTGGTGACATTGTCGCCGTACTCACTGACGAGCAGCGTCGTCTCATTATGGACAAATCGCTGCACGACAGCAGCCGGTTGGTCCTCTTCATCACACAAGACCAGTTCCACCGCCATGCCATGGCGAATGCCACCACTAGCGGTTCGGGCATTAGGCAGGTTGAACATGAACTTCGAGGCACGGTCCTCCCGACCATAGAACAAATACCCGAAGTAGTGATGGTCCTCGTGGTATGTGCCTTTGGTATCGGCCATAAGCCAACTATGGCGATGTTTGTTGTGAAGTTTGTAGGCCACTCCAAGTTGCAGCTGAGAACAATCTCCAGTTAGTATCAAAAGGACATGTGAGAATGTGTGGGAGTAGACATACCTCTGGGTGGTCATTGAGCACGGTTTCAACTTTGATCTCGAAAATACAGCCGGCGTCGTAATGGTGGATTCCGACATGCTCCGCCCATTGAACCGTGAAGTCAGAGGACTCCATACGAGTCGCCAGCTGTTCGATGTGCTTGTCCACTTTCTTCCTTTCATCATCGCTCTTCCCTTTGCGTAGATCCTCTGCATACTTTTCCAGTACCTTTTCTGTAAGATGTTAGCTATGTCCATTCATCCACAGTGTGATCGATGTACAACTTATTAGTCGGGTCTGGTCGTCCGTGCGGAGGCCGTAGAATTCACCGTTGGGAACACCTACCTTGCCCTTCGCTCTCAGACGGAATTGGCAGTCGACTACCTTTCTGCTGGCATCCCTGATTTTCTTGATCTTCTGTGGGACCTCTTCGCCCTTTTCGAACTTTCCAATGAAATCTGTCATCGGTGCGACATCTTTTTGCTGTAATGATATGTCAGTCCCGGAAGGCTAAAATAGAGCATTCGTTATAGAATAAAACCACGTTGATAATTCTCCAATTCGCGAACGGCTTCACAGTGGGACGCCAGTTTGGAGGACTTCATATAAAATTAGCTCGTTAACATAGACTCATACTGATACTGATACGTCTTGTTGACTCACTCATTGCAAACGATTGTATCTCCACCACGGGCTTCCCATGAAAGGGTCTTCTGCATGTGGCTGTTTTGGTTCTGGGTTGGTCCATTGTGCTGCTCCTCGTGGCCGTAGCTAGCCGATGCCTGGAAGAAAGAGCCAGCTGAGAAAGACAAGCCCGCTTTGTACTTCATTGCATTTGCCTTTTCAGTAGTCTCCGCCGAATCGGAAGATGAAAACTGCTCTGATGCAAGGAGCTTGCCTCCAAGTCCCACATTCCTTGCGAAGAAGTGGCCTATCCAGTATGTCAGATTCAAAATACATACAAATGGTACAGAGCCTGCATAATAAAATACTAAGCATAATCATTGTGGAATTTCATCAAACTTGCCTCGTCCGTGATGCTCTCTATGGCCCTTTTGCAACCTTCGGTCAGTTCCAAAGTTGCCTCTTCTAATAGGAGTACCACCCGAGGGAACTATATGTATCAGTCAGAATAGGCTTCCGAGTAAGGGATTATCCCAAGTAAAAGCAGTCGACGTACGTTGTAGGTGACATTCATAGACCTGGTTGAGCTTAACGAAGACTTGGCCATGGCGCTACTTTCGCTATTGCTGAATCCACCCTTCACAGAAAGACTGGCGCCAAAAAGACCACCTCCACTGAATCTCCGTTAATACTCCAGGCTGGAATGCTGATTTGCTATCACTTAAGCGGATATTTCAATGTCCGTCTGCGAGAAGTGGCTTTTCGCAACACTGTTCGAAAGAGCACTCGCGGTCTCAAATACATTGACATAGGAGTCGTCCGTAACAGCGTAGTGAGGAATTTTGAAGTCTTGCTGGTTGGTGTTAGTAGGGTTAAAGGGGGAATGACCAATTAATGAACTTGCCGTGACGTCGATGCCCTTGCTCGCTTTTTCGATATGACTGATGGCTGGGCTTTAAAGCAAAAGCTTCAGTTGATGAGGTCAGCTAACAAAACTTCCGAGGTCTCTATTCAGAACGTTTTAACCTACTAGCGAGCGGACCCTTGTCAAGTCTTTGGAAAGTTCGACTTCCATTTGCATTCATCGAGAAGACAATGCGCTGACCACTAAGGAAATTGGTGTTGCGAAGCACTAGTGCCCAGTCGTCTTCGGACATAGAGCCAGCGGTGCTAGGATACCATTAATAATATGAATATGAGAGGAATCCATATGGGTTTGCTTACACCAAGTCGCCTCCTGTCGCCGCTTTGAAATTTTTGTGGTCGTAGACACTGGAGAGCTCTTTCAGAGTGGCCTTAAAGGAGATCAGGCCTACGCTTCTGTCCATTTGTAAGTACCTAATATGGGCTTACTGCTATGAGGACATATATCACTCACAATCAGGTCCATGTCGAGCTCTCCATCGAGCAACTTCTTTGCGTGGTCGCTGATTGCGGTCCTTCTGCTCGTTTTCTCGCGGTTTTCAAAATATACATCGTATGTTGTCACGCTGCTATTTATTGCGGACTGTTTCAACGATTAGCATATCGAGTTGCTATGTATGGAGGAGACTCACATTTTCAGTAGCTGGGGCTGGGGTGGGAGTGTCTGTTTCGTCCTTTGGGGTCTCTTTCCCCTTCACGGTCCCCTCGTGCTTTGGGTCTACAGTTGGGACTTTACCTGGGGGGCTATGAGGAACTGATACACCTTGAACTTGGTGGTATTTGACACTTGGGCTCCATCCCGTGTGCAGAATGCAAGTCCGGCTCTGTTCAAATTTAAATAGACCAGAAGAGATATACAATGGAACAGAATTCATCACTTACTTGCCCGAGTCCAGTTTCTTGTCCTCCACGAGAGTATTGCGAATGTCTCCAAGCGATTTGTTCACGTCGATATTACCGTCGACACTAATGCAGTTCGTAAATTTCGACTTTCCTGCACCAGCGTCATAAAGATTGATGTTAAAAAGAAAAACATGACTATCAGGTAGGTCTGGCATGGTGAAGATTCAGGGTCGCAGAGAGTTGAAGGCACAGGTCATCAAATAGTTCTGGTCACTTTGTCCACGTTGTAGCTGACGAGGGTCCCCTGATTGTTTATGTAGCTAACCGCCATCAAGTTGACCTAAGCTACAGGAACCCACGGCAATGTTAATCCTATGCGACTTACATTCAGGTGAATCCTGTTCATCCGATGTGATAGATAAAGTGGGGTCATTGTGACGAACACCACTCGACACGATGTAGCTCCAGGGCCCGTCAGCCATGTGTTCCTGAATAGGTCCGTATCTAGTAGATCTTGTTTGTTCGCTCGTTATATAGCGGGGCACATTTTCTCGTCTGCCAAAGACGTCACTGCAGGCCCATAGCTGTAAAGCGTATATACGAGAAACTCTAATTGAGAGACTAAATATACCCAATGAGACGCCGCAATAAAAGGAAATCAGTTGGAGCGCTGCTCACTTAACAAGTCAAATCCTGAAGAAACTCGGGCCCCACAGTAAGTGGCGTCCGTTCTCCCATATTTTAGACCGACGGATATTCTCCGTTCAGCTCGCGCCCAACTTCAAGTTACACCATAATACACCGCCAAGTCAAAGAGTCCAAGGCTCAGCCAGTCACCACGCAGAATTGCTATCGAGGAGGATCTGTCCTCAACGCAGTTGAATTTGACGTTATTGGATTTTTTCTCACGGGTTTATGACGCTCACCAATAGTCTCAAAGACCATTCCAAGCACCAAGATGGAAAGAAACTTCGATTCAAACAGCTAGGGTCGATATGGTAATAGGCGGACGGGGATACCTAAGCTCATCTATGGTAAACGGGGCTCACGTGGATCCTAGGTGTGCAGTATGCTCACCTACATATGTTGGTAATGATTACCGCTCGAGCCCGCTTTTATCGCCCCAATTTCTCAATGAACGGAAAAGAAACAGAAAACAAAAACATACAACAGCGTGTGTAAGGTCGTGGTCACCTAGCGCCCACGGTTCGGGCATGGGCGGCTCGCCGCTCTATTCAGTCCTCCTTAGGGCACTCCGAGCGGATATTCACCCACCTGCATATTCAGCCCGTGCAGCAAAAGGTACATTTCCCCATTTTGATCGAGAAAGTTGTGACTTGACCTTCTTTTTTCCTCCGCTTTCATCTCTCCAGCCTCGCTTTGTCACGAGCAAGATGTGTACCAAGCATAACCCAACGTTGAATTACATGGCTAATGTCGTGGATCTCTGGGAGTATAGTAACAATGAAATCCAGGGGGTAGTGCTGCCACGAACAGAATCTGGTTACAATCACAAATTACTTATTTTCGACGAGTAAGTCTTAGCCCTAGGGGCAGAGAAATCCTCTCTTTCCTCTTTTCTTCCATAGCTATGACGAAGGCTGTGCTGTGGCCCATGGATCCTTCTCGCTACCGCCGCTTCTAATCGCCCATGCTGCCTGTGGACTGTTCATACTGACCCATATAAGCTAACGCAGATCTCCAGAGCTTCGATCGGGTATAAATATGAGCGACAGCCCATATCACGTTGACTACGTCTCTCAGACTCAAGTGCTCTAACAATGGGAGCATGATTCACGATACGCCCCTACCCCGGCAATAATTGTATGAATTCAAATTGATGCAAATTGAGGCTTCTAGTAGTCTATGCGTTCAAAAGGACCACGGCGCCGTATGGATGCAGCTCAACTAGGCCTTCCGCACAACCAATGCCATGCTGGTTCGAAATCAAAATCGAGAAACCCTCATACCTTTCCACCGGTACCGTCTGAATTTGATCGGAGAAGTTCAACAGTACAGCCGCTTTCTGACCTGTCTCGCTCCAGTCGCGCTCATATCCAAGAACCATCTCACCCGTCTCAGATTCTTCCAGGGCAATGTATGATCCGTAGACGAAAAGATCAGAGTATTCCTTTCGCAGCGCAAGCATCTGCTTCCAATAGGCCATGATGCTCTCGGGATTGTCGAGCTGACTGGCAACGTTCCACTCGGTATAATCCTTGTTTATAGTCATCCATGGCTTGGCACTCGCGATCGTGAAGCCAGCATTGGGTGAGCTGTCCCATTGCATTGGTAATCGTCCGTGATCTCTCGACTTCAGTTGCAGCTCCCGGAGGACATCGTCCATCTTGCCGACATTGCCACCTCTAGCCTTCAGAACTTCATCGTAGTAGTTCTTGCCCTCCACATCGATGTACGCATCCGCCGCGTAGTCCTTGCCAAGATTCGCCATTCCAATCTCTTGGCCTGCAAGCATGAACGGAGTGCCACTCAAAGTCGTCATGTACGTAGCCAGCATTTTCGCCGCAGTCGAGCGGTGTTCCGGGACATCAGAAGCGTATCTAGATAGGGAGCGGCCGCTATCATGATTGTCGAGATAGACGGTGTTCCATCCGTCGAACCTGGGCATCGCAGTCTGCCAAAGATTGGTGATCTTGCGGATCTTCCGAGGATGGAAGTCATCTCGCTCGTACTTTCCGTTCGGTCCAAAATCCATATCCGATATGTCGCCAGTGAAGAGCATGTTCAGCTCATGTCGGTCCTTGGCAACGTATTCGCTGACGGATTTTTCATCCTTGGTGAAGCCAAGCTCACCAACCGTCATCACGTCGTACTTGTTAAGGACCTTGGTCCTGATCTCGCGGACGTAATCATGCATCTTCGGGCCAGAAGCAAAGAATTCGGCACCGGATTGGTACGGCTCTTCATTGACGACCTTGCCATCCGGTAGATCCGGGTGCTTGGACATCAAGTTCATGCTGTCGATGCGGAATCCATCCACGCCTCGATCAAGCCAGAAGCGCATGTCGTCGTGAGTGGCTTTGCGCATCTCTGCACTTTCCCAGTTAAGATCGGGCTGGCTGGGTAAGAAAAGGGCGAGATAGTATTGACCGGTGGGCTCGTCAAAGGCCCATGCACTACCGCCGAAGAGAGATTTCCAGTTATTGGGCTCCTTGCGGTTGCCCTGGGCATCGTACTTGGGATCACGCCAGATGTACCAGTCACGCTTGGGGTTTGTCTTAGAGCTGCTGGACTCTTTGAACCAGATATGTTGGTCACTGGTGTGATTAACGACCAGGTCCATGAGGATGCGCATATCATGTGCGTGGAGCTGGTTGATCAGCTCTTGGACGTCGTCGATGGTCCCGTAAGGCGCATGGATACAACGATAGTCTGCGACATCGTAGCCCATGTCTTTTTGGGGCGAAGCGAAGATTGGAGAGATCCAGATCGTGTCTACTCCCAGAGACTTGATATAAGGCACCTTGCTGATGATGCCAGGGACATCGCCGAGGCCATCACCGTTACTGTCGAGGAAGCTGGCGGGGTAGATCTGGTAGACGACGGCTTCTTTCCACCAGGTCTTCTCGACAGATTGGGGAGTCATGGTGAAATGTATGTTGTCTAATTTGCAACACAGTGGGGAATTTCAAGATATAGAACAATGGTCCTTGAAGAGAATCGATCTTGTGCAGAGAAGGTGAAGCTATGGTCACGGTGCAGCCGGAATATATGTAGTGCGTGACGACCGCACAGGGCTCTCCATGCTTCATACTTCTCTGTCAAGACCGAAATTAAATTGTTGAGCTCGGGTAGATATGGGGAGAATCTGGGGACAACTCGGAGAAATCTGTAGCGAGACTCGTGGCGATGGAGAAGTCGTGGAGGTCGGTGTTCACAGATGAATTGACCTCGTGTCTCGTTTCTCCGAGGAAGCTCCGATGAAACCCTAAGCTCGAGTAATATCTATGATCCAACACCTGACCATAACTCTAAAGATTCATTAGATAGGATAGGATTGCGTGCTATCTGGAGTTGAAACGACCCTCAAGGTCCAGAGGCACGTTTTCCGAGAAAGGTCCGATGTTCTATTTCGTGTAATGTCACTGGTTATGTAGCATTTAATTTTATTGTCGATCATTTAGTGACGCATCCTCACGTATTTCCTTTAATACTAACATACACCAGTTCTATTCCGAAGCTATCGACTGATTCGACCGAGAAGACTCTGAAGTCTGATCTATGTACACGTGGTCTCTTTAATTATTCCTACACGAGGAATTTTAGTCAGGAGGAAAATTTATGAGGCAAAATGGAATATAATTTTCAGTTGTACGTTTTATGAGGTGGTTAGAAAACAGCTACACTGAACAAAGTAGGAGAGAAACCCGGAGACCACCAAAAGAAATGCTACACAAGCTGTATGAGGCCGTCAAATAGCAAAGTCATCGACACGTCTCTCAACAAACGCCTCTTCCAACATGCTTGTTCTTATCAGCAAGTCGGTTCCAATGAGCCAGTGCTCTTCGTCTTCTCAACAATTTGGCCCTCCACAACAGAAAAGTCTTTGAACTTCCGTGGGGATACTTTGTTGGCGTACAATGCATCAATATCCACATTCGACCTGTTCTTTGTCTCCGGCTGGGAAAGGTAAAGACCAGCCATGATGAATATCTCGGTTCCTACAAACAGGAACATAACTTTGCCACCCCAGTTAAGCTCGTCCGGGTTGATGAAGTACGGGAAGACGGATGACAGCAAAATTGCAGTTAGCTGCTGGCAGATCAAGACAAACGAGATGGTTTTGGGACGTGTAGCCTGTGCTGCCGTTTCCTGGGCCACAGCCCATCCGTAACAGCCGACGGTTGCCGTATACAGCATCGACCAGGTGATCATGAAAGCAAGGAGAGCGATATTGGCCGAAGTGTTGGTGGTTGGTGCCATGGACACACCGGCAATGATAACAGACCAGAACATGAGCATGGTACCTCCGCCGATGAGGCCCTTTCTGCGTGGAATGACGTCGGAAAGGCAGACAGCGACAAAGTTGGACAACAGTTGCAGCGACGAAGAGATCGCAGTCAATTGGAACGAGTCAGCCTGACCAATCAACTGGAAATAATAGGTCTGATAGGTATTGGCGAAGTAGCCACCCGAAAAGTTCTGGGATTGAAGAGCCAGTACAGCAGCGAGAGTGCGCGAGCGATGCTCCTTAGTAAATATGCTCTTCCAGCTTGTCTGGCTGGCAGCGCACTCCTCGTTCTCTGTTTGTTTGAGTTCGGCCTTGATGGTCTCAATGCAGGCATCGCTATTAGCACCAGGGCCATAGAGCCTGGCAATAGCCTTGCGAGCATCATCTTCACGGCCCTTCTTCATATACCAGACCGGACTTTCGGGAAGGAAAGGAAGACCGCAAAGGTAAATGCTAGGTATCACGAAGGTCATGACAAAGGCGAGTTTGAAAGACCAGACGCCCTGAATTCCCGACGCGCCATATCCAGTGATAGACGCGCAGAACTGACCGAAGACGATGACGACATTCGTAAGGGACGACGCTGTGCTGCGAAGGTGTGTCGGTGCGTTCTCTGTGACGTACAAGGGGGGAAGCACTGTCGCGAGACCAACTGAGAGGCCGAGGAGAAGTTTTGAGACGAAGAGGACAGGCAGGTTGGGGGCGAAGACCAGTGCAAATGATGACCCCAAGGAGATAAATACAGCTGCGTAAAGCAGGACTTTTCGTCCCCAGAAGTCGGCGAATTGTCCAGCCGCAAAGCCTCCAAGGACCTGACCGATTGTCGAAGCGGCATTCCACAGCGACTGCCACAAAGCAGGAATCACATATTCGTCACCAATGGCATAGTAGTTGCCATAGGCCTTTCGGAACTCGGGGAATGCAATGGCCAAGCCAGATAGACCAGCATCGTAGCCCCAGCTGAACACAAGAAGCATTGTGTAGAGAGTCCACAAGCAGAATCGTTTTTCAGCCCAGATAGCTCCGCAAAGCTTGCGCCATTGTTCCTTGGGTGTTATGTCCGAGACTTGATGGTCTTCAAGTTTTGCGGGCAGTGGTTCGTCGGAGACGGCCTCGACATGACTGATGCCCGTCATCTCGGCTTGAATATATTTGGTAGAATGATCCATTTATGAGATCTCGGAATGGAAGCAAGGGCAATGCGAAGAACTTGCTGTCCGTAAGATGATCGTTCTTAGGTGGAGCATCTCGACACTTTAATGTCTTTTCCATGGGTTGAAACCCCACGGGGAACCCAGGAGACAGAAATCAAGAATGGAACTAAAGGCGGTTCTGTGGGAAATCCTCGGAGATACTCTTAATGAATAGCTTCTATAGTATATCAGACTGACATGAAAGTGTAGTTCCATATAGGGAGATTCACGAGTCACGAATATAGGTAAACGCTAGGAAATTTAGAGAAACTCTAGAAGTTAAACTTGCTATCCGGGGACACCTCGGCGAAACTCGCCTTCCCTAGTATATCGCCGCTCCGATAAGTATTAATATTTACGCTTTTAAATACTAAAGACTAGCCCTTTAATCTGACTATATATTGTTCTAACTTTTATTTATAATATGATAAGTACGTTAATTTCTAGAGAAACCTCGTTAGACCTTGACATTTCCCATGGGCTACTGGGAATTCCCATGGTGGGACTAGAACCCCCGTGGGAGTCCCATGGGAAATATGGGAATTCCCATGGGACTACAAACAATGCAAACAGGGAGAAACTCGTGACTTGCATAATTGTACGGCTTTATGCTGGTTTTTTTAGGTATTGGTTTAGTG